AAGAAAAGCCTGGAGACGTTCATCTTTGTGCTGCCTCATCGTGAATAGGCTCGAGATGTCCTTCGGCGGGCGCTTGTTCCCATAATACTGGCTTATGAACCGATCGCACAGGTTTCTGAAGCTACCAATGGAGCTCCTAGGCAAGTTTTTGAACCAGCTGAGCGCCGGTCCGGCTAGGCTTGTAGGGAAACATTTGCACATTAAAGAGTCGTTTTCCGTATTCAGGGCCATTTTCAACTGGATATGGTACACATGATCGATCGGATCGGTTGTTCCGTCAAACAGAATAAAGACTGGCATAGCAAACTTCCTTGGATGCGGGGCATTCAAGATCTCGTTGGTGAATGGTGAATCAACTGTCCGAGCTGCGGATCGGAGAGCTTCATTCTCTCTCTGGAGTCCACCGGTAGCTCTGTGAGTTACGGTTCTGCCCTCCGAACCACGATGAGTGATGGTAGCCATGGAGGGCCGGTAAGACGGATTGAACGACCGTTCCTCTACGAACTCTCTTTGCCAAGGCGACGCTACTCGACGGCGATCAACCTCTATCACTTCCTCTCGGTCGAACCTTTCCCGATGCGGATCGAAGGTTATGGCTTCATTCCGTCTAATCTGCTCATGTCGCGGATCAACGTGAGTCGATCCTTCGTGATCCTCAACCCGACGAACATTTGGCGGCAAATTGTCTATCATCCTTTCATCACGGTGGTGAGCTGACTGATTGTTCTCGTCCTGCTCGCCTTGACGCGCGATATTAGATTGAACACCTCCTTCACCGACTGGAAGTGGATGCGAAACCGCAGGTATTTGCCGATGTTGCATTCCAGCTTTCAATTCTGCATTCTCTTTTTTGAGAGCTTCAATCAAGTTCATCAACTCCTCAAGCTTTGTTTGCTGGACAGCCTCCATCAGATTGGAGCTTTCACCTATCATTATTCCTGAACGGAGTAAAGGCATTAATCTCAAGTTCGCGAGTAGATCCGAGCTTCGTGAGTGGGAATTTTTCAGATCTGGTTTTGAATTCTCCGAATTATGCTCACCGTTTACGAGATCTGAATTGTCTGAACTCTAAATCCGTCAGATCCTGCCACAATCGAACAACTCGTTGTTGCATAGATCTGAAGCCACTTCTGCCAAAGCTTCAAGAATTGTAATTCCTCCAGAGTAGGTCACAATCGCTCAGATCTGGATCCAAATCCCAAAGATTGAGTCTCGATCAACCGAATTGGTCTGAATCCACTCGATATTCCTCATTAATCAACCAAACTTCCATGCGATTCCCACAGACGGCGCCAATTGAAGATGCAAGAAATTCATGCTCTCTTTCTCTCTCTAGAATTCTTACACTTCAACCAAAAGATCCCTCTATTCTTTCCATTCCTTTCCTTATTTATAGATATTTACAAGATATTTACAAATATTGATGGATTGCTGGATCTGGGCCTGTTCCTCCATAAGTCCTGGTCACCTTTGATGGGCTTATTCGCGTTCGGCCCATATGGCAGTGTCTTTTTATGGGCCGACCCAGCTGTACGGACCGGATGTCGTGCTTGCAAGTCAGATCCGGCCCATGTCGTCCTGGGCCTCCTCAGTCATTTTGTTTAAATCAAAGGACTTGTAAAATGTTAATATTGTACTTTCATGATTTAAATGGGTTAATTAAGAAGTCAAAAGGTAATTATACACTCTTATCATGATTAGGGGTGGTGTTGAAGTTTGCAAACTTGAGGAGACAATTGGATCACGCTCTCCCTAAATTGTATCTACCTGTCTTTATTGCAAATCTGAGGAGGTGTGAGTACAAATTAATCTTTTTTATTTTTATTTTTATTTTTTATTATTATTAATCATTATACTTGAGGTTTAGGATTTGAGCTGGCTAATAAAATTAAAATTTTCTACTAAGGACACCATGTTCATATTTTACTTTTATGTTGGTGCTTTGCACTCAACAATTTCAATTTATAGAAATTCATAAACATTGAGAGTTAAAGTAGTAGTATATACGCGTAAAGTGACATCATATATTGAGTTGAAATTCATACCAATTGATTCCTTTTATAAAAAAATGAGACTTATTTTTGAGATACACATTACAAAAAAACTAAAATAATAATAATAATAATAAATAAATAAATAAATAAATGTAGTACTACGTAATAGTCTGCCCACCTTATTATTAGATAGGAAAGCTTTAGCCTTTCTCAACACCCCAATCCATGTCCATTATGCCCCTCACCTAGTGACTCAGACCATATGTTCTTCAAATGTACATTCTCGAATCCATTGGCATTCATACAAACACATTGTGGATTTCACATTAGTTCAGTGAATAGGGATAATTTAATACAATCTTTCGTTTCGCTCATGGAACCCACCTAATTCTTTCCTCCGTCCACCACCTCCACCTCCGGATTGAGTCATCACTTCCTCCTATTGAATGAAAGAATTTTTATATAACTGGGGACTACATAGCCCTAACCAATTATAACTCAAAACGTAAGTAAAAGATTAATTAAAATATACATATTTACTCGTGTCAGGGCGTGATCGATCGGGACCGTGCAATAATTCTTTTGGAAAAGACTGAGACTTAGAAAACTTATGAGATAGCCAGATGCTAAATATGGCCGTTGAAAACGGTTATTTGATTTGAGCTAATGATTTTTTTTTTTTTAAGTTAAAAGTAGTAAAGGAGGTGGAATGGTTTTTTATTTTCTATTTTTTATTTTATTTTATTTTTTGTCAATATGACCAATATAGTTAGATGGTTTCCGAAGAGCTCATAATTAATTTTCATATGTGGATCATAAAAACCATTAGGACCGAATAAAACCAATCAATATAGCTCATATATAATTAATTTTCATATAGTCATGCTATATTGCCGTTTCTTGATATATATATGCATATAATTCAAATTAACATTTATAGTTCCATTGAGTAGCTTTTTATTATTTATTATTTTTATTTTATACTAAGTTTGTAGTTTTGTTAACAACCATTTACGTGCCTTGTTTTCCGCATGTTTCAATTTTAGTTATTAAGGTGATTGTAAAATTTAAATTCTTAGACATTTAACTCGATATTATGTTAAAAATTATCAAACCTTTCAAATGTATTTAGTTTTATTCTCTCTCTTTACAGCTTTTGTACAGCTCTAGGTAAACAATCGTGTCCACTAACATATGGTGATTGTTAAGCTGAAATATCTCAAACCATAGTGACTTGTGTGGACCTACCGTATAGGTGCAGGTAGGGATGGTAATGGGGGTACTTTTTGGACGGGCGCACCCTCGTCGCCCCTATATCTAGCCGTTTAGAAATTTTTGTTCCATTCTCACTTAAAATTGTCTGAACGGAACCTTTCAACTCTATCTCTGTCTCGTTTAACTTTTTTATCTTACAAGCATCTTTCGTTTAGTTCTAAAACCTTTTTTTTTTTTATAAATTTTTTTCTTAAATACAATTATATAACTATTAAAAAAAATTATAAAAAATGGGCAATCAATAATTTAACATAAAATTTAAGGGTATTAGTGTTCTTAGTTCATAGGGTTCTGCCATTCACTAGAACGGTTGAGAAAGTGAGTGAATTTGACTTGAGGTTTCTAGAGTTAACTATATATACTAAGAAAATAAGAATAATTTAGTAATTTATCTACTTAAACGGGACAGTTGATATCTCCCGTTTTCACCCCGAACCCGTGCGAGATTTCATTAATAAAAATCATCCCCGTCCAAATAAGTTAAACAGTTCCTCAAAATAGCTATAAATGTGGCGGGTATCTATCCTCGCAGGGCAAATTGCCATCCTTAGGTGCAAGAGACTGGAGATACTCACAAGTAGAGATGACAAATTTCTCATCTCCACCGGGTCCTCGCCCAGCCCCGCCCCGTTTATAGCGGGGATGGAGACCTTTTTATGTAAATGGAGATAGGAATGGGGGTAAATTTTGAAAACCAGCCGGGGGTGGGGAAGGGGGCGGGGGCGGAGATGGGGTAAACCCGCCCCACCCCGCCCTGATTAAGTATTATATTACTAATATACCCTTATATTTAATAATTTATTACTAAATTAGATTTAGTACTAAATTAGATTTAGTACGTATATGAAAATAAGAAATTTATATATATTTTTTAAAAAATAATATATGTTAATCGGGGCTGGGGATGGGAATAAGGGGTCGGGGGCGGGGGCGGGTATGGGGGTGGTGGTGAAATTTTAAGCAGGGATAGGGGCGGGGATGGAGATTGAAAAATTCAGCAGGGATGGGGATGGGGAATGAGATCCCCGCCCCGTCCCGCCCCATTGCCATCCCTACTCACAAGTGGTGGGTCCCACCACTCTTGTGGGCCGCATCAAACACTGTACTCCTTCCATCCGACCTGTATTAGTTGTCTAGATTTTCTAACTTTTAAGAAAATGCAATTAATACATTGTTTCTTTTTTAAATTATTAAATTTTTCTTTAATCTTTAAATATACTGTGTAAAATTTGAATTTTTTTTTGAAAAGTTAAAAAGATAATTATTGAAGTATTGCATTTAATTTGTTTTGACTTTTCAAAATAGACAATTAATTTAGAACAACTTAAAATTTAAAAAAATGAACTACTTATATGGAACAATTTATAGAATAGCCCAAGCACTCATTGGATTTCGGGCTACGTTCCTTTGTTGCTTTAAATTCGATAATAATAGCCCTAACCCTAATATGTATCAACTCTTTCCTCTTCCAAAACCTTTCACCAGGAAACAGATCAAAATGGCTTCACCTGAAACAAATTTAACAACACAGATACATTCTCACTGAAAAAAAAAACACCAAGAGAGAGCTTCATATGATAACCCAACACAAAAACGACTGAAACGAAGCCAAAACACACAAGAACTTTTTTTATTTTTTATTTTTTAAATAAAGTACTAAAACATACTCAAAATTACTCTCTTTTTTATTTCTTCCACCACCATTTTCTGAGAATCACATTCATGCCAAACTTAGCACTTTGGAGTCGAAGATGGTTGTCCATTTTCCATCTTGTGCCTGTTGTTGTTGACCCAATTCTTGAAAATCTGTGGTGTGATCCCAATCTCCACACAAAACATTCCAATCTCTTCCTCACGATCATACTTCTGCACTCTCCAACTCAATTTGTCTGCAAAAACCCTCATCCGCTCCTTCTGCTCTGGCGTCAGCCTCGTCCTCCCCTTCTTATTCCTCCCCGACGCCCCCACCTCCTCCTCGATCTCCCCTCCGTCCAGCCACTCCCCCGGCCTCACCTCATCCTGTGGCACCGGATCATTGTATGTTGCAACATGGGGTTGTGGTATTGGTGGCGGAGGAGGAAGAAAGGTGGTGATGGGGTGGCGGTGGAGAGGAGGTGGCTGCAGCTCCTGCACTTCCTTCCTGTGGAAGCTGCGGTGGCAACTGCAGGCCCCACAGAGTAATGCCTCCGGGGTTCCGTCCTCCCCGGCCGGAGTGAAATCACCGCACCCGTCCACAGCGTAGCGCATGATTGGTGCGGCGTGGTTTCGGCGGCACTCTCTGTACCTAACAACAATCTCTGACCTAGCAGCTGCACCAATATTGTTAGTTGCCATGATCGAGAGTTTCATGGGAGTGTGATATTTTAAGGGCTTTTGTGTGCATGTAAGAGAAAGATGCTTGCATGTTTGGTCCTTGGTGTCAGATTAATTTGCAAAACCGTCACCATCATTTGATGCTGTGCAGTGAATGGGTGGGTCACTGGAATTTAGAACATTAAGACAAAACCGTGGTCATCCATTTAGTCTGTTCTTGAGTGCCTGACAAAAAATGGCAAAACTGTACAAGTAACTTCGGGTCTACTTTTTTAACTTAAAAAAATAAAAATAAAATAGGACTAGTTGGTTTGTAACTCTAAAATAAATGTTAATTTTTAATTTAAAAAAAAAATCCGGCTAGTTGGTTTGTAACTCTAAAATAAGTGTTAATAATTCAAAAAATAAAAAATTATTCGCAACTAATTATAAAAAATTATTTTATGAAAACAAATATTTTTATAACTGAATATTAATAAAACAGTTTTTAAAAAACCGAAACAAGCAAAGTTTCTATACAATTTTGTATTTGATAATAACACTTTTCAGAAAACTGAATAAAGTAAAGTTTCTATACAACTTTGTATTTTTAGTTATATGAAAATAGATAATTGTTTCCAAAATTACAACCAAACATACCCTATTTTCCTAGAAGAAAATTTAAAAACTTCTTATTTACTTATTTATTTATAATAATAATAATAATAACAATAATAATAATAATAATAATAAATTTTTTTTTTTTTGGGAGTAGAAGAATAGAATTTCTTTTAAATGACCCTGTAATTAATAAATAGTTTTTTGCTCTATTTTATGGTCATTAAGTATGATTTTATAGATGTTGTTTTAATGGACAATAAATACAAAGGTTTTAAATTTAATAAGCTTGAACATGTATGTCCAATTCTGATTGGTTTAAAACTTGTAAATCCAATTGAAGCAAAAGTTTGTTTGACATCGGATATAATTAAATGGGTTAAGTACATAAAAACCCCTGTAATATAGGTTTTGTGCACAAGTAGTCCCTCATTTTAAAAAATGTGTATTTCAGTGTATAAAATTAAAAAAATGTGCAAGTAAGCCAATCTGACAACTTTTTGGCAGAAAATAAATATGAAAACCCGATTTTATCCTTTTTCCCATTTTGCCCCTAAAGAAGACTTTACACAGAACATACTAAACTACCCTCTTCATCTATGCACATAATATATCTATATATATAGAGAGAGAGAGATAATGGGGAAGAGGGGAAGAAGAAGAAGTGGGTGGTTATCAACTCCACTATGGTACACACCACCACAACCACCATCACTGTGGTTGTACCTGCCCTAATCTAAGACAACCCAAACCCACCATCACCCGCCGCCGCCGCTCTTACCAACACAACCAACCCTTTCTTTCTTTCTCTCTCCACTCACCACTGCAACCTCGACACCACAACCATCACCACTGCCGTAAAAAACAAAACCGCCCCTTCAGCATCAACAACAAGCAAAAATCCCTAACCCATCTCACCATATCTAATCCAATAATCGTAACAATCACCGGAATTACATATCACACCATCAACACCCTAACTACCATTAAAACATAACCATAGAGAACCAAAGTCCCATCCGAGGAACAAAAACTAAACCTACCACCGGAATTACATAGTCACAGCCTTACTGTTGTCAAAATCGTTTGTCACCGGGAATTGTGAATCTTTAGTCTTCGGAATTTGATATAATCGTGGTCATCAGAGCCTGAAGTGTGTTAGATCGCCACCGGACTCCTTGCATGCCGTCGCATATCGCCGATTTGGTCACAAAGTTCAGTTTCTCTTCATCCAACAACCACCGAAATCGCGACACTACCTCCCCGTAAGCTCAATGTTCAGTTCAGTGACCTAACAAAGCTTAACGCTGAAGCTTGATCATTGGTCTCAGAGATGACGTGTGATACCCCCTAATTTCGGAACACGGGTTGATCAAGTCCGTGCACAAAACCAAGGGATATCAAATCAATTAAAGTATTTAAACAAGCACGGAGTACAAATAGAAAATAAAAAGAATAAATAACTCGTTAAAGGAAAATCTATTAAATACTAAATTCATTAATAACTCTCGAATGGTTACAACTCGAGAATCTCGTAACTCAAGGACCCCTTAACCAAACTCCACTATCCAGAAATTCATCACTACATACTGAAGTAATAATATCCTACTTTGAAATAAAATAGAAAGAATGGATAAGTCCTCCAGTTGCGGATCCTCAACCTTGAGACTTGGAACTTCTAATAACCTGGAAAAAAAAATCGCGGGTTAAACCTTACGAGCAAGTTCACTCTACCAGGCCTCTGAAAACCAATAAGAAGATCATTTCTGATCAAAACCAAACCTAATAAAGTTTTAACTTTTATAAAGCACGATATACATATCTATATATAATTATACATACTATATTAATCACATCCATTAATAGGTTTATTAAATTTTCATACCTATTAAATAATTATTAAAATAATAATTATTCCTAGACCAATCTACCATTTATTTTAAAAAGAAACTCCTTTAACCTTAATCCCATCATAGTCAGTTGTTTAATCATTTAAATAATAAATTATAATAAAAAGAATATTATATTTAGTCCTAAAATCCGATAATGATTTTAATTATTTAAATTACATCTCCAAAATTTAAGCTTTGACAAATTATCCATATCTCCACTAGTATTATTTTACTAATATGCATAAAATAATACACTAACCTGTAAGTACTAGACTATTTTAATTTAAGAATATCTAATCCTAATCCAACTTATACATACAATAACTATAGATGATATTTTAATCATCTAACACAGAGCAATATAATTACACTTTGGCAAATCAACCATGCCATTATAAATATATTTATTTATATATTGGCAATTCAACCATGCCTCCTTAAGTATATATATATTTATACTTTTAATTAGCAACTCATCCATGCTTCCTATGCATGTGTTTTATTCATACAAATATTTAGGCCATATATTTAAGTCTTTGGCAACTCATTCATACCTACAATTTAACCATGTCTCAACTCTAAACTTAATTATACATAGACATCTCATGCATTTCATAAGCATAACATTACTTTAATAACCAGCCTATCCAGATATACCAAATAAAAATAATTTATATTAATCATCTTAGATGATATATATATACATACACATATATTATATAATATATAAATATGTATAATACCATCCATAATAATCTCGGATTATTTAAATCATATATATATACATATATATTAATATATATATATATATATATACACACATCCCTCCATCCTTATCCTAAACAATTAAACCATATATACACATATATAAATAATTATATATATATATATATATATATATATATATATATATATATATATAACTGAATTGTGGGAAGTTATTACTTCTACACTCAGTATTGTTCAAGGAGGATGAATGTAGTCGCAGAATGGGTTTTTAAGTTCTGTTTTGAGGATTGGGGTATTCCAAGGTTGTTTAGATCAAATTAGGTGATTTAAATGGTTGAAATAGACTGGTTAAAATCTCAGAATGTGTAATATACATTAATATGCTAAGGACTTGAACCGTATGAAATTTTAATTAACTTACATGTTGTGAATGAATGATTTATTTGCTTAATATTATTCTAGCAATTTCAATGTCTATTTATGTGATTTTAATCATGTATTGACATATAATATAATCATGTATTTAACGAATTTTTATTATAATTACTTCTGGATTATTTGATGCATAATTATACATATTGCATGAAGTATGAGTTTTATGGATTTATGCACCATTAAAATAATATGGAGGTATTTTAGGGACGGATTAACAGAATAGTTAAGTCATACCTATTTATTTATGGATTGTATGGTTTAATGCACCGGTATGGAATGGTGGCATTTCAGGGACGGATTAACTAAAGAAGTTAAGTCCTGTCTATATATTTATAAGGGAACGGATTAACTATAGGGTTAAGTTCTACTTATTCGTGTCAGGTCAATGGATTAGTTGGATGGCATGCCATTGAAATAATATGGTTGGATAGTTTACTTTTATGTTTGGATATAATGGATTATATATATATATATGTGTGTGTGTGTGTGTGCGCGCGCGCGCCACGATATGAGCTTGAGTCTCAGGATCAGTGGTTAGGATGGAGACGTATATTGCTGATTGAGATGGGTAGCTGGATTTAAGGATGTGTAGGCCCTGGTAGAAGGAGGACTCGTGACCACCTTTGTATGCATTTTACATGAGATACCCACTATCCGGTTGAGACTGCTTTAGTCCAGTGAGAGTCTCTAGTGTGTACTTATATTTATCAATTATATAAATATGGAATTAGCTAATTACAAGATGTGCCTGCTAATTATGAATATGTGTGGATGGATTAATTCCCACACGGATAAAAGGAATAATGAAATTTGAAATTAAATAATTAAAGTTTTCATTTCATGGATTCGTGAATTCCGAGAACGGAATTCCTTTTGTTAGTGGGGAAGAATGTAATACCCCGATATTTTAAAGGATTTATTAATCAGAATTAATTACTTTTATTTTATTTTTAAATGATTTATTTGATTAATTTGAATTAATTGCTTTTATTTTAATTTTTAATTGATTTGTTTTATTGAGTGCTTAGATTAATTATTATTTTTATTTATATTTCGTGAATTATTGATATGATAATTGTTGTGTGTGTGCTTAATTATTGATTGAATTGTTGGCGTGTTGATTTTATTGGTATGGTGTGACTTGGTTGTAATTTATTGTTTTGTTTATGTGCTTAGTGTAATTAATTTTTAATTTTTTATTTATTTAAGTGTTTATTTAATTATTTGGTTTATTTAAATTAATTGGATTTGAGTTTAAGGGAAGTTGGACCAAAAGATGTGGTCTTGGGCTTGTATGAAGCCTTATTGGGTTAATTAATAAAGGTCCATGATTATTTAATTATTTAAATGATCATTTTTGTATTAATT